AGTAGGTGTGGGCTTGTTTCTGGTGACATTTGGGGGCAATTTTAAGACAAAATGCCTACTTTTGGGGARAACTGGTGCATTTGATGACAAAAGTCGAGTCCCCATTTGGTTKAAATGCCATTGGTGGGTTGGGGGTTGGGTTTAGGACCAAGGTGTGAATTGAGTTTAGGTTATTTTTAGGGTCAGGTAGGTTAGCCTTAGGGTTTGGGGTCAGGGTTAGGCTGTAGAAATATAATGGAAATCAATGGAATGTCCCCAAACGGAAAGCTGTGCAAACGTGTGTGTGTGTGAGCCTGCTGCAGTCTGTCACTAGTGAATGTTGTGGGAGCAGCCGACTCAGGGTTCCTCTGTCTTTCTAAACATCAGATAAACACTTTGCTGTGACTCAAAGGTCAGGAGGGTGCATGGAAGTCTGCGCTTTACTGAAAATCTGATAATGCCGAAAAGCTTCTTTTTTTCTTTTTTTCTTTTTTGCCGTCATGAGCCTTGGCTGACCACAAAACAAGAAGTAAGCTGTTTCACAAAATAAAATGGTTCTGATTTTAAATAGCTTTTGATTTTCACTGTTGTTCCTGTTTTGTTTTGTTTTTTCATTTCAGCTGGTCTTGGAAAAGTATTTGAACTTATTGCTTTTGAGCTTTTTTCCTCTTACCAAGACACAGAGATTTGTTTGTTTGTTTGTTTGTTTGTTTGTTTATACAGAGACAATGTACAACATTTCATTAAGCTTTTACAAGGAGAGATGCATGACACCAGGTTATAGCAAAGAATGCTAATTTCCACCTGCAGTCTCTGGACAGGTTGATGTAATCAAACATGTTCTAATAAACAATAACAAGCCAATTTAGTAAAAAAAATTATATACATATGTAAAAACAACAAATCAGTTACCCAAATATCATTAAAAACAAAAACTACAAACTAAAAAAACAGAACTAAAAAAACTAAAAAAAAAAATTTATCCATCACTCCTGCAGGCGGCATTTGTCATGTCAGTATGGCTTCAAAAAGTGCTTCTGAGGCTCGGCCTTTTTGGAAGTTTCAAATCTTCCAAGATAAATACAACAGACCCGATGAACGCGTATGATAATGTTTTTGCCTATACGTGTCTGTCTGTTAGCAAATATTCTCACAAACCGCTCGACAGATTTTAATGATACTTTCAGGAAATAATAATACTTTATTTGTATAGCACCTTTTAAAACAAATGTTGCTTTACATTCAACAAACCATTAAAACACCATTAAAGACATAACGTGAAACACAAAATGTATCAATCAATTAAAATATCTAAGAATGTAAGACAAAATAAAATCATAAAGATACAAAAGAAACTCAAATATTAAAAGTCTTATTATAAAAGTTCGTTTTAACTAATGATTTAAAAGAACAAAATGATGTGGRCTGTTTAATATTTTAGGTAATAACCACTGACTGCACGTCTACAACTGATTCACTTTTGAGGCCAACTGAATTCAAGATGGCTGATRTTAATAAACATAAAATTGCCAGAATCTCTGTCAATTTTTCAAATGTTGACCTAAAATTTGCTGTTGCTGAGTGCTAAATTGCACAAGAGCTTTATTTTAAAATTTAGCTATTACCTGTTAGCAACAATTATGTGGTATTAGCTTAGAGTCACCCTGAACACATTCGATTTCAGTGAAGGCCACACGAGCATTACGGTGGTCCTCAAAGGACCAGTTGTAATTAACTTTGACATTTCATGTTTAACTTTGACTAARCATGAAACGTCACGTTCCTCTTCTCTTCGCTACAGCTGAGCACAGCTAACAAAAAAAATAACTGAGCTCTTTGTGTTTTTTCCTGCGTTGAAACATTTTAACATGTCCTCTTATAAACACTGAAAGGTACTACGTGTACGACTGACTAAATAGGATAAAAATAATAAAGAAATGCTATTAAAAATAAAAAGTAAGAGAGTTTTACTCTTTTCTGAGTCGTGGTAAGTAGCTGCCATATRGAATTCTGAACTCTCCCACTTTCTAACAGAGAATATCCACTGGAGGAGCGTTCCAGTTCAAATTTACGACATGTAAAATTCCCACTTCCCAGTACAACTGGGCCACAGCAAAAATAGCCAGTGAAAAACACAGTGAAATGTAGATTTTACATGGAAAATTTTGCCATCTGCTGACTGCTTTTGAGCCTTGTTCACTTCCAATTAGTGTTGGGATGCCATCATTTCACAGGTGAAACTGTTATCATTAGGGATGCACGATGTACTACCGACATTAATATCGATATCAGCTGGTATTGGTCATTTTTTAGAATATCATTATCAGTCCAATAAGTAAAACTGGGCCGATATTACCGTCCAATATTGTCAGCGGTCTAGTCATTTTTTTCCTTTACGGTATCAAAAAAAGACGTGTATTTGTGCGTGTATGAATATTGATAATTTGTGTGTTTGTGTAATATTGATAAATATCGGTTGTTGGCCATAAAACCAATTGTAATATCGGATATCGATATCAGCTGAAATTTTCATATTGGTGCATCCCTAATAAACTTGCATTATAGGAGATGTAGTTTATGATCAATTCTGGCTTTACAGCAGCTTCTTTTAAGACATTAGTACATCTTTGAAGCTCTCCTGGGCCACATAAAATGCTGTGGCGGGCCACATTTGGCCCACAGGCCTTGTGTTTGACAATCTGAGTGGAGATGTGGAGCAGACATATTACTCAGCTTTCTGATTTTATGCTGTATTAGTGGTACACGTGTTGCCATTTGCTGTCTAGAAACAGATTTGTTGAAGTGTAGGTTTGAATTATGCACAACATGGATTAATTTTGATCTTCTTGTTTATAGTTTTAATATATTTGACAGTTTTTGGAGGGCAAACCAGAAGCACAAATAGGTGCACGAAGCAGCAGCAGCACTAGTAGTAGTAGTAGTAGCGTTCCTGTCCTGGGTTACCGTTACATACCAGTCATTTGTCCAAATCCAAACCACCAGCTGTTAGTGTTTCCACACACACGCATTTCACTCTCCCTTCTGCTCTCTCTGCTGCGATCGCATTCCTCCTTTGCGTCGCATCGCGAGCCAGCAATGACAGATGCTAGCCTCAAGCCCTTAACCCCTAACCCTGTGCATGCCTCTATTTTTGGGGGCAAAGAATGAGGAGGACAAGCTCGAAATGGCGTCAGACGATTGAGGCGTCGAGGGCCAACTTAAATCTCCCTGATCTTTTTTTTCCCTCAAATACAAACTATCAGACCAGACACTGTGATCCAATCATCTAAAAGACAAAGTGTTTTCACTTTCATCTCTAAAGCAAACCGAAAGTTACCATGACAAATTGCCCCAAGCCAAAAAAAAAAATAAAATAGCTGCAGCTTTTGCCATTAATTTTGACATTTAAAATGACAGAAACAACATGACGGTTGACACACCTTTAAAAACATCTAGTTTTTTTTTTTCTTCTTCTTCTTCTTCTTCTTTTTGTATTAAAAAGGGGAGCTTCTTTGCTGGCAGCTGCCATTTATAAAAGAAGGAATAAAATGTCAACCATGTGTACATGTCTGTCTCTGTGAGCGCATAGCTGAAGCCTGCTCACTGTGGGTGATGAAATCTTATCAGGTCAGCTGTAATCGAGAGTTATTAATATTATCCAACCATCCACCAAGGCTTGATAGAGTTTGTGCACGCATGCTTAAACAACGAACACTGAGCTTCAGAATTGTTGCACTTTTAGATCTGCAAGTTGGTTTTCAAATGAGTTTTTTATACCTTTTTATCATGTACGTGTGAATTTGGGTTCAGCATTCCCACGATTCAAGTCCTGTTTTTGTTGTTCTACACGTTTTGCCGTCTCRCCATTTCTGCATACTATGTGTCATTTTAGCCATTCACATACCAAAATGTTTATCACATTCAGGAGACAGCTGCTAGGACATTTGGTCTTTGTAACTTTTGAACTTTTTAAAATAATCAACTTAATTTGTATTGTTTCCCATAGAAATACATTGAAGTTGCTTCTTATGCTACTTTTATTTTTTAGCTACCATTCTACTACTTTTTGCTAGCCTTTGTGTTTTTATTGTGTTTGCATCTTGTAATAAAACAAGGTGAAAGATGTGTTCTTTTTTAGAAAAAAAAACTTTCTATCAATGCCAAGGAGATTCACTCAAGCTCAAACAAGGTTAACCACTGCTCCGAGCATTGTTGAGAAATGCTGAACTAATTAAAGACCTGGCTTTCCTGCTTGGTGATCTAATGTTTAGGAATTGCCAAACTTTTAGATGCCAGTTCAGGTCTTCTCGTAAACTGTGTCTTGTGCAAAGCACAGGAGATAATAAAAAATTTCAATCAAATTCCAATATTTTATCACCTTTTTGTATGAATGCAGATTGTGAAAGACTTTTTTTTAACCATGCTAGCTAAAAAAAATTGTAATGACTGAGTTGGCCCTTTGTATGAGATGCATGTCACACATACAGCAGGTAAAATGAGTATTGAACACGCCACCATTTTTCTCAGTAAATATATTACTAGAGGTGCTAATGACATGAAATTTTCACCAGATGTTGGTAACAACCCAAGTGATCCATACCCATAAATGTCCAGAAATGAAGTTATTTGTAATAATGTGGAATGGCACAGAGAAAAAGTATTGAACACACTTACTGAAATTTATCTAATAC